TGGATGATTTTGGGAGGGAGAAATTTCATCGATTTTCACATTAACATATATATCGTGCGCCGCAATAACAATAAAATAAACTTTATTAATAAACAACAATAAATAACAATAATAAATAAAGATATCAAAAGTTTGAAATATAAATACACCTAAAATTATTTGTTTGTTTTATTTATTTATAATTTTTCAAAAATTTAGATTTTCCTTTTTGATTTATTATTATTATTAAAAATAAAAAAAATATGGCAAAGACAAGTATTCTTTCTGTTTTTCGAGTACTTTTAACAATTTGGTTAGTTTATCAAACTGTTAAAGCAATCACTTTTTTACATCTTTTGAGTAGAAAACATAGTTATTATGATCCAAAAGGTAATGTATAATATATAAATACATATTATCAAACTTTTTTACGCGATTTCCACCCTCTTAATTTCTCTTAAAAATTAATAAAATATAACTTAGTCGCGTTTGTTATTGGTGTTCAAACTGTTGCACCTCCAATAATTGTAATAAATGTTGTTACTTGGATAGTTTTTTGGTTTGATAAACAACAATCAAAACTTCGTAATTGGAGAACTCCTGAACGCGAATTATTATGGTGGTTATGGACTACAGGTACATAAAAATTGAAAATATAAAAAGCTTTAATTGGTTGGTTGATTTTATTAATTAGTTTTTTTTTGTTACTAATTATATTATTAAAGGTGTTTTTGGTGGTTGGCTCAGTATGTTTGGTACATATAATTAATAATTAATAAAAATCTTTGATTAATTACTTTGGTTAATATTTATTAATTGTATTATTAATATTTTAGTCTGTCGTCACAAGATTCGAAAAGAAAGTTTCATATTGAAGGCGTTATTATCCACAATTTTTAATCTTACTTGGTTTCTATTTTATTTTATTTTGGATGTGCCAAAAAAAGCTTCTCTACATAAATAATAATAATAGTAATTTCACTATTCAACAATATATGCAAGTAATCAACTATTTTAGAATTTCCCCAATTTTTATGTAAACTATTTATTATTTTATTTTGTATATAT